TGACATCCGGGGCCCACAGGCCCTGCATCGTTTCAGCCTAAAAAAAGGCCTGAGCCTTTTTAGCCTGAAACTGAGGGCTATTCTCAGGCCCTCATCAGACCAACCTGCCCTGATACAAGCACATTCGGGCACTGGCAGGAGTGACCTGCCCTGAAGCTTCCTCAAGGGCTAGCACGTGCAGGCATTGGCAAGAGCAGCCTCCTGGACGGGCCAGCACTATATAAGACTGGCCCGCCCTACAGGTTGGGACAGACGAGAGGAGACTGCCCAGGCACTCAACGTCCACTTCTACAGGAGGCAGTAGTCTTCAGGATTCGGCTGCAGTAGTAGAGTAGCGTTAACAGTCGTCTTCAGCGCTGGGCGCTAGTAGCAGTAGACCAGAGTAGTGGAGAGAGGAGGCTGGCGGAGGCCAGGGATGCTTACGTGTGGCGCCATAGCTCCAGCTTTGTCTTCGAGGTACCTGCAGCAGAGCGCCACTCACCGAGTGACCTACCTGAGGCGCGCCATAGCTCCAGCTCGCCAGCGAGGTACCTACAGCACAGCGCCACCATCACCGGTTAGTACCTGGCATCTAGAAGAGAGAGAGAGAATTCTTCCTCTTCCTCCTCTCAGTCCACCATCTCTCTCCTACCCTCTCACTATCTGACTTCACTGCTTCGGCAGCCTACGAGAGTGAGAGTGGTTTACTTGCAGGGCTACAGGTAGGGGTTGTCACGGGCATTGGCCCAGGATCTGGTTTAAAATTTTTGGGCAGACATTTGGTTGGACTTTGGCAAGGGACTATTTTGAACTTCGTTACTGCGATCTTAGTCTTCTCCGTTGCCTCCATCTTCGTCCTTCCTTCCCCCCTCCATCTCTCATCCGTGGTATCTCCCCATGTGCGTGTATGCAGGAGGGACCTTCGTCTATGTATGCGGTCCCTTCCCTCCCTCTCACATGTGTGATGTATGATGGGATGTCGTAACAGTCCAGGTCAGATCAGGACTTATCTCCAAGTCTTCTGCTGTGCTATTAAATGCCATTGTTCATGTATCGGGATGTACACTGTCTGTTGATATTACGTTAGCAGTCCACTGTCCATTCAGTCCTTTTCATCACAATGCGGATCCTTGGCTGAACCCTCAGTGCCCGACTCGGCATGCAACACTCTAACAACATAGTAGATTTTGCGATTTAGCAAAAAAAAACGCGAGTGTGAGTATGCCCTTATCCTTCCTGCTTTTGCCAATTATAGAACACCATCTCATTATTATTATTTATTTATTATTACCCAAAAGCAGAAAGGCAATGGAACACAGAGTGGTTAATGAATAACCCAAATTTCCTGAAAGCAGAAAGGTGTCCCCCTTTTCCCCCTTTGCTCAAAAAAAAAAAAAGGCTGTCTTCTTTTCATGGTAACCGCGGACCCAGACACCGGACACTTCCGGACTGTTTTCTGGACCTGTGTGTGGACCAGTCCGGACATCACAGGACACCGGACTGTCCGGACTTTGTTGGCACGGACAAGATGTCCGGAAAAAAAAAAAGAAGGCGGGGAGGGAGCTCACCTGGTTCGCTCTTCGTGGCGGAGCACCTGCATCAGACGTTCCTCACACTGCGCGTCTTCCCCCTCCCTCCCCGAACCTCCTCCCAGACCTCCCTGAACCTCGTACCTGTCAGTCCCCATCCCGACCCTCTTCCACTTGCCCACCCCATTTTTCCCGACTCCCCGCCAGTCTCCATCCCTCCCTCCCCGAGCCTCCGTCCCCCCACTCCGCGCCTCCCATCTCACATCTATCCCTCTTCCCCCTATCTCCCCGAACCTCGTATTCCCCCTATCCCTCTCCCTACCCGTCTCCCCGAACCTCGTTCCTCACACTGCGCGCCTTCCCCCTCCCCCCCGAAAGTTCAAAAGATTGGAGCAGGACAACAGTGTACTACAAAATATCAACAACAACAACAAATCAATCAATCAATCAATCAATCAATCAATCAATCAATCAATCTCCCCGAACCTCCTATCCCCCCATCTTTCCCTCTTCCCCGCTATTTCCCCGAACCTCCCCCCCCCCCCCCTATCTTCCCGAACCTCGTTCCTCCCACTGCACGCCTTCCCCCTCCCTCCCCGCACCTCCT